GGGTTTGTTGAGGTTTTTTTTTTCTTTTTCTTTTTTCTGTCTTATTTGAGACAAGGTCTCACTCTGTAGTTCAGACTGACTTTGAGCTCACTTTGTCACTTTGTAGCCTGGCCTCGTCTCAAACTTGCAGTGATCCTCCTGCCTCAGCCTCCTGAGTACTGGGATTATAGGTGTGTGCTACCACATCTGCTGTGTTTTTAAAGCTTTATATAAATACTATTTACATACTTCACAAGTCACCCATGTGAAGTATACAGTACAGTCCTTTTAGTATACTTTGGCAAACTTTCAGTATACTTTGTATTCAGAGTTGTATAAGCATCACCACAATGAACTTTCGAGCTTTTATCATTCCAGAAAGAATCCCCTTGCTTCTTAGCAGATACTCTCCATTTCCTTCCCAGCCCCAGATAAGCACTAATTTCCTTTTTATTTCATTGCGTTTCCTACATTTTTCATATAGATGGGATCATCCTGCATGTGATCTTTACATATGCGTGCATGCGTGCGTGCGTGCGTGTGTGTGTTTGGGGCAGCATTAGAAATTGAACTTTGATCCAGGGGCTTTGCTCTAAGCTACACCCCCAGCCCTTTTCACTAAAAAAAAAAAAAAAAAAAAAGGCCCACAGTTAATGAAAAAAAAAAAAAATCACTAAACTGCCCAGGCTGGGCTCACACATGTGATTCTCCTCTCTCAGCTTCCCAGAGCGGTGGTGGAGTTACAGGGGTACGATACCTCACCTGGCAGTGCTTGATCTTTTATGATCTTCTTCCTTCTCAGCTTCTCATTTTTAAGGTTCATCCATGTGGTAGCATGACTCTATCTGGTTCTTTTTTAGGCTGAGTAGCATGTCATTGTATGGATGTGTCATGACTTATTCTTTTGTCACTTGATAGATTTTGAAGTTTTTTTTTTTGTTTTGTTTTGTTTTGTTTTTTTGTTTTTCCTTTCTGGCTGTTCTGAACCCTGATCCAGTGAGTTTGTTCGTTCATTGGTTCTCTCTCTCTCTCCCTCCCTCCCTCCCTGTCTCTCTCTCTCTCTTTCTTTTTGAGGCAAGGCCTGCACAATGAATGTGGTGCAGGATGACCTTAAACTTGTTTATGTAGCCTTGGTTGGCCTTGAACTCACAGCCACCTTCCTGCCTTCACTTTCTAAGTGCTGGGATTGTGTGTGTGTGTGTGTGTGTGTGTGTGTGTGTGTGTGTGGCTGGCTCAGCCTGCAGACTAATTTTGAAGGCAATAGCACCATTTACACACCTGCCAGCAAGTGAGGGTTTTCCTTAAACTTGCCAAGTCTTGTTATGTCTTAAAATTCTTCATTACTGCCATACTAGTGGTATTGTCCTGCTAACATTGGGATGTGTGTTTTGCTGATGGAAAATGGCATTGTACATTTTTGCCTGTGCTTTCTGGCCCCAGGTACATTTTTGGAGGACTTAAAGTCCTTTGCCCATTGCAAAATTATTCACTTTTTCTTTTTTAAAACTGACTTGTAAGAGTTAATCTTTTTTAATTTTTCAAAAAAATTATTTATTTAGTATAGTGTCTTGCTACACAGCTCATACTTGTCCCCAGCATTCTGGGTTCTGGGACTGGCACGGCATGTAGTACTGGGGATCAAACCCAAGTCCTGGGGCCGGGGAGATAGCTCAGTAGGATAAGTGCTTGCCTGGCAAGTACAAGTGCATGAATTTAATCCCCAGTTCCGCAAAAAAAACAAAAAAACAAAAAAACAAACAACAACAAAAAACCCAAGTCCTTGCACTTGCCAGGCGGATGCTTAGAACACTGAGCTATCTCTCCTTGGCCCTATCTTCTTGATACACATACCTGATCAGATACATGACTTGTGGATTTTTTAGAGGTAAAACTCTTCTGTTTCTTTGTGGTACTGACTATTGAATTCAGGTCTTTTGTACTGAGCTACAATCCCAGTCCATTATTTACTTATTTATTTTTATTTTGAGTTACTAAATTCTGCAGGCTGGGTTTGGATTTGTGACGCTCCTGCCTCAGCTTCCCAGAATGCTGGAATTACAGGTTTATACTATCAGTTCTGATTTTTAGATTTCATCATATCCTGTTTTCCCACTCACATATTCTATGACCTGGAGAAAAGGTGCTCTGCTTGACTCCCAGAGATGCTCTTTTTCTTTCTTTAACCAGGTTTTGCTGTGTACAGTCATTCAGTCTGGCCTTGAATTCACTATGTAGCCTCCTGAGTTCTGGGATTATAGGAGTGATTCCATGCCTGGCCTAGAGATGCTCATTTTAAAAAGTTTTACTTCTAGACATATGCTGGTAAGTTGCCCAGGCTGGCCTTGAACTTGCTTTTCTCCTGTCTCAGCCTTCCAGTAGTTTGGATTATATAGGTGTGTGCCACCACACCTGGCTGATGCCCTGGTTTTTATTCTTAAAAACTGAATAGTATCATGTAGCCACTCGGCAAATGTCCTTTGAGCCACACTCCCAGAAGTTTGCATGCATCAGAGAACAGAGTACACTGTGTCCCTGCCTGGTGGAGTTGTGCCCCTGGGCCCATCCCAGGCTTTTCCAGTGTTCTTCATGCTGTGCTAAGCAAGTCCTGGGCCGCAGCTGTGCCTGCCAGCCAGATGCTCAGTAGCACTTGCTGGGTACACAGACACAGGAGAAAGCCTTGCTCATCACTGCACTCCCAGAGCAGTGCTTGTGGCTTATTGATGGGGGCATCCTGATCCTGAAGGAGTCTGTAACAGTTAAGTAATACACAGGAAAAGGAGTTGGTTCCTGGATGACTTGGAGAAATGGGCCTGAAGAGCTGAGGTCAGCACACACATGTGCTATTAAAACACTGGGAATCACACACACACACACACAGACGCATGTACTCATATACACATCACACATACTCACTCATAACATATACAAATGCATGCATACACATTCATGATATACTTGTACATATAAAAATATGGACACATACACACTCAGATACACTCATCCACATACTCAGTTACACACAAATACACACAAGCACACACTCAAATACACTCCCATATAGTCATATATATATAAACACATACATATTCAAATACACTAATATACAATTATACATAAGCACATACACTCAAATGCACACATGCATACTGAGCTGTACACAAATACCCATATGTACACACTCGTACTCCCCTACACACATACATGGGTAATACCCATACACTTCGTGTACTGAGGAATACCCATATGCTGTTACATAGCCTTGTGTGCAGAGGCATACACATGCACACATGCTGCACAGGCTGTGTGTGTGAGAGGCTTTGTCATATTCTCATGTGGGTCCTAGCAGAAGCAGGTGCCTGTGCCCTTGCATTGGCCCTGCTGGTCCTTCTGGAAATATCATCACACAGAGCATGACAGGAGACTAAAGTACAGGGCTCACGAGGCCTCTGGTGTCCCCCTGCAGCTTCCCTTCATTTTCTTACACTGTAAGGACAGGTAATGCAGCCACTTTGTGAATCCTGCAGTGCTTAGTCATTCACACTGAACCAAGGCCGCAGTGTGCTTCAGAATACTACCAGCGCTGTGCTAGAGAAGAGCTGCTTTAAGAACCAGCTGCAGTGGTACTGGGCGACCACTGTAGACCAACGGTTTGTGCCTGCTGTGCTCACAGCCGGAGTACTCCCCTCTCACCTTCACTTTGTTCATTTTACCTGCAAAGAATGTTTTTGTGGGGCTGGAGAGATGGCTCAGTGGTCTAAAGCACCTACTTAGAACAAGCTTAGCAAAGCATCAGGGACCGCAGTTCAATCCCCCAGCACCACATGCCAGCCAGCCCCGCCCCCTGGTGGGCTGAGCTGGCCACACACACACACCCCTCTCTCTCTCTCTCTCTCTCTCTCTCTCTCTCTCTCTCTCTCTCTCTCTCAAATAAATAAAAATAAAAAAAAAAGAATGTTTTTGTGTTTGCTTTGTTTTCTTAGTAGGACTAGTGATTGAGCCCAGGGCTTGTACACTGACATCTCTAACTACTTTTTAAAATTTTTGTTTACGCAAGGTCTCATTAAGTTGCCCAGGCTTGGGGTAATGGACCTTCCTTGATGCTGGGAATACACTTGTTCATCACCGTCATAACCAGCAAGAGCACTTTTTTTGTTTCTGTATTTCCCTGTACCAAAAGCCAAACTGACTGTTAATCTTCATTTCTTCTGTGCTTGTTTTATCTTGGGGCAAGCTGTTAGGCAACAAAATCTCTCTGGCGTTTCTCTGTTTTGTGCTTTGTGAATGATGTGGGAGTGACATCTCTGTAACGAGGCTGTATTGTTTTTGGTTTTTATGAATCCCAGCTGTAAGCATATAGGGAGTGGTATTTTCCTCCAGTATTGGGGATTTAACCCAGGGCCTTTGTGCTGAGCTGTATGACCAGCTCTTTTTAAGTTTTGAGGCAGGATCTTCATGCTAAGTTGCTCAGCCTGGGCTCCAACTCCTGATCCTTCTTCCTTAGCTTCCCAGAATGCTAGAATTTTTCTTTTCAGATTAACATGTCATTTGGCCAATAAAGACAGTGTGTGTTAACTGTAGAAAAACTGGGATATATAGAAATTACATTGCTTTGTTTGAACATCTTTTTAGCTCTATCAAAGTCTTTTTGTTTCAGTTTTCATTTTCTACTAGTATGTTTGTAGTACATAATGATTACATTCCTTATGGGAAAGATGATTCTAATTTGCACGTCATCTATTAATGTTTCACATTGTCTGCTGATCTTCACGGTGAAGACTTGACTTGGACAGGTAAATGTGAAATGTGTAAATGCACAACAGGTGGAAGATACCACTAGTGGGTATATTTTCTAGCAAGGGGCACACCTGTTTGCTCAGACTGTGGCTGGTGAGTGAGGGTCCTTAGCCAGATGGAGTCTGGCTATAGTGGCCAGCATCCATGTGCCAGGGTGTCATAGGGTGTGCAGAGACTCTGAATCCCAAACATTTGCCCTTACCAGGCATGTGTCTTCTCTCCTACAGGCTCACCAACACTCCCGGTCATTGAGTGGGGGGACCAAGACCCCAGGTCAATGCAGATGCCCCAGGGCAACCCATTGCTGCTGCCCTACACCCTGCAGGAGCTGCTGGCCAGGGACAGTGTGCAGGTGGAGCTCATCCCAGAGAAGAAGGGGCTCTTCCTGAAGCATGTGGAGTATGAGGTGTCCAGCCAGGTAGCAGCTGGCTGTGTGCCGCTACGGAGGTGGTGGGGATGGGGGAACCAGGCCAGGGTGGTGGGAGGGGACAGGCTCTGTACCCCTGGCTCAGAGATGTGGCCCATGCCCAGTTGACACTATCAGCCTACAGCACAGATTTTGGGTCCTTGCATCTGAGATTGGCCAGTGCCATCTGAGATCCTGTGTCTTTGGACTTCCTTTTTTTCTTTTTTAGTACTTGGGATTGAACTCAGGACCTTGCGCTTGCCAGGCAGGTACTTATGTGGCTGAGCAATCTCCCCAGCCCTTTATTTATTTATTTATTTATTTATTTATTTATTTATTTGTGTGTGTATGTGTGTGGCCAGCTCAGCCCACCAGGGGGCGGGGGCTGACTGGTATGTGGTGCTGGGGGATTGAACCGCGGTCCCTGTGCTTTGCTTAGCTTAGCTTGTTCTAAGTAGGTGCTTTAGACCACTGAGCCATCTCACCAGCCCCTGTTTTTTTTTTTTTTTTTTGGGGACAGGATCATGCTATATAGTTCAGACTAGCCTTGAATTCACTGTGTAGCTCAGGCTGGCCTTGAATTCACAATGATCCTCATGTCTCAGCCTTCTGAGTGCTGGGATTATAAAGCATGTGCCACCATGTCAGGCTGTCCTTCTTTTTCACTACTTGGAATTGAATATAGGACTTTCACATTGAACTAAATACCCAGCTCCTTTTAAAATTTTGAGATAGGATCTTGATAAATCACTAGGTTACCCAGGCTGGGCTTGTGATCTTTCTGCCTCAGCCTCCCAGAGGGCTGTGATTACAGGTATGTTTCATCGCTTCTGGTTTCAGAATGTGGTAGCACCTATGATTAAACTATTCTCTGGCTTGTTGGTGCTGCTGCCAATAGAGACTGGGAGAGCTTACTCCAAGACTGCCTCAGGGATGGCACATCTGTTGGGCATTATATGGTCCCCTCTTTCTGGCATTTGGGGCCTTAGACACAGATAGGTATGGAGTTCAAGGTGGAGAGCACCAACCCTTGCTCCCAGGCCTGACCTGAGGGTGGGAAGCTGCTGCTGTTCCCGAGCCGGTCTTTCTCCTATCTCTGAGCTGCCCACTACTTGTTGGAGCCTGGTATGAATGTGAGGAGGAGAGTGTTTTCCTAGGCCTCCGAAGTGGACTCTCTACCTGCTGTCACAGACCCATGGGAAGCCTGCTGGGTGCAGGTTTCCTCTGTGTATGCCCTACTTGCAAATTCTGAACTCAGGCAAGCATGATGAGGGTGTGGCCTGGGTAGAGGTACATATGCTCGCCTTAATATTTTGTATTTCTGTTGCTTTTTTAAAAATGTTTTTTCAGCCAGCCAAATAGTTCAGTGGATTAGAGGGCCTGCAAGCAGGCACAGGGGCCAGGGGTTCAATCCATGGGCCTGCCGTGTGGGGCCTGCCCCAGGGGCGTGCTGAGATGACAATTGAGACTGGGCCTGGTGGCGTGCACCTGTAATCCCAGCTCTTGGGAAGCTGTAAATAGGTGGTTCACTCTGAGTCCAATCTAGTAGTGAGACCCTGAACACTCTGTAGACCCTTCCCTAAAATAAAAAAAATTGAAAAAGAAAGTTTTTGTGACAATATTCGAGATTGTATTCAGGGCCCTCACAATGAGGTACATCCCAGCACTACTTACTTTTTATATTGAAGCAGGGTCCCACTACTTTGTTGAGTTGTTTAGGATGGGGTCAAACTTGGAATTTTCCTGCCTCAGCCCGCCAAAGTATGAGATTTATAGGCATGCACCACTATACTTGACTGAACTTTTTTTCCCCCTGGGGATTAAATCTGAGGCTCACATCTTCTGGGCAATGCATTTAGTTTTGAGATTCCTGCTCACGCATGTCTCTGTGTCCATTCTTTGAGCAAACCCAGCTTTGGTTAGAATCTGTGTTTCACTCATGTCTGACCTGGTGGCCATCATGGTGCAGCATCTGCTGTCCCAGTCACTCATGGTTGAAGCTCAGTTTGTGCGTGGATGGCTGCTTCCGTGTTTGGCAGTTGGGAGTGATGCTGGTGCTACTGTCAGCAAGGTAGAGAAATGTGCAGCTGTTCTGCACTGGGTTGGAGGGAAGGGCACGACAGCTCCCTGAGGAGTCTTGTCAGGACAGAGCCACCCAGATGTTAGCAGCTATATGTTAGAGTGAAGGAATTCTAAGATTTGTCCTGGTGAAGACCTGGTGAGAGTGGATGAGGAACTAGGGGACAAATGGAAGGCTTGTGGGGGCTGTGGAGTGGCAGGAGGGAGGGGAAGAGGTGCTGAAAAACTGTGATACCTAGGCTGAGCACTGAACCTCTCCTTGCAGCGCTTCAAGACCTCTGTGTGTCGTCGATACAATGACTTTGTGGTCTTCCATGAAATGCTGTTGCACAGGTTCCCATACCGCATGGTGCCAGCTCTTCCACCCAAGAGAATGCTGGGAGGTAAGCAGGTTGATGGGGCCCAGATGTAGGTGGGGTGAAGCCACCCCCTAGATGGCTCAGTGATGGACCCCAATGTAGATGGAACATTGCTGTTGCCTGACTCCTGGATGAAGCTGGCTGCAATGCCACAGTGCCAATGAGTCCCTTGGCCATCCCAGGGTCACTGCTGTAGTTGAGTACTGTAGTTGTCACCACCTGGTCACTTTTGGCTCACCAGAGCCTTCTGGCTGAACAACTGACATGCAAGGAAGGCCCTCTTTGTTTCAGTGTGAGAAAAGAAACCTGCTCTCTCCAATGTCAGGACCAGGTCCACCAGAACTCCCAGGAGGGTGGCCAGGACCTGTTTGCTGCTGTGACTGCAGTTGATTTTTTGTGCTTTCACAAAGTCCTGAGACCCTCAGCAATGGGTGTTGAGCTGCACTGGGTGAACTGGGAGAGGACAGGTGCAGGTGTAAGTGGAAATCTGAGCTCCATCTCATAGGAGGTACAACACGTTTCTTGTGGCACTTGAAGATTATACCAGGGAAGATGGGAGGTCACTGGCATCCTGCAGAACCCTCCTAGCCTGTCCTGTTCTTCACAAGGTTGCAGAGCTCTGGTTTTCCCTCCCATAACACTTTTTCTCTGAATCCACATAACCTCAGGGGCAGGCCAGTACCCAGAGTCAGCTAGCTCACTTTCTGCCATTTTCCAGCCATCCCAAAGTAGTGATGTGCCTGAGGGGACAAAACTTGAGAATTTGCCATGGTCCAATTTTTGGCATTCTGAAATCTCCTACTGTGGGCGTAACTATTCTTGCAGGGTGCCGATTGGCTCAGAGTCTGATAACAAGGTGTTTTTCCTGCGCCACTTGTGCATTGGGAGACAGGTGGTTGTGGCCCTTGTGGCAGCAGTACAAGGAATGCTGAGTGGTGAGGGCAGAAGCTGGGTGGGGTGAAGTGATGTTGCTCATACCCCACATTGCAGTCAGCTGGTCAATCCCATGCACCCCTGTCCTCCTGGGACCCAGAGTATATCTGAGTGTAGTCTGGACACAGTGCAACTCCTGGTCTTTTTTAAAATGTGTTTTGGAGACAGGGTCTTACTATGCAGTTCAGCCTGGCCTTGCTCAGTTTGTAGTCCATGCTGGTCTCGAACTCACAAGGATCCTCGTGGCTCAGCCTCCTGAGTGCTGGGAGTACAAGCACGTGCTACTAACTCCTGGTCTTTTTTTTTTTTTTTTTTTTTTTTTTTTTTTTTTTTTTTTTTGTGTGTGTGTGTGTGTGTGTGTGTGTGGAACCAGGGATTGAACTCAGATCCTTGCGTTTGCCAGTCAAGCGCTTATCCTACTGAGCCATCTCCCCGGCCCCTAACTCCTGGTCTTGAGGAGGGACATGGATAGCTTCATCTAACTGTATTTTTCAATAACTTACAATATTTTAAAGACTGTTTGTGGCCAGATTTGAAGATCCTTAATGGATCAAAATACTTTTCCTGGAAGTGAAAATATTTTTCCCGAATAATTGCAGATAATAATTAGATCAGGGGCCAGCAAGACAGCTCAGCAGACTAAGCACCTGCTTTGGCAAGCATAGGGACCAGAGTTTGATACCCAGTCCCACATGCTGTGCTGGCTCTGCCCCTGGGGGCTGCTGAGCCAGCCACCAAGTCTGGGTGTGGTGGTGCATGCCTGCAATCCCAGCTCTGGGGAGGCTGAAAACAGGAGGATCACTATGAGTCTGATCTGCATAGGAGATCCTGTGCCAAATACATAAAATGAAAAAAAAAGTTAGATCAATCATGGAGTAAAGTTATAAGTGGTATGAAACAGAAACTTGAGCTGTGTTAATTTACCAGTGCAGCAAAACACGTTTGTAGAGAGAAGTGCCAGAAAGGGATTATAGATGATGGTTTCAATGTAGATGATCAGAGTGAGAAATCAGGCTTGATTCCCAAGGCCAGGCGGAGTGGTAGACACCTGTAGGCCAGCTATTTGGGAGGCTGAGACAGGAAGATCACTTGAGGCCAGGAGTTTGAAGCCATCCTGAAAATACATTGAGACCTTTCTAAAAACAAGCAAACAAAAATATAGATTAAAACTGGATCCCAGTAGTCTGTGTGTGTGTGTGTGTGTGTGTGTGTGTGTGTGTGCGTGTGTGCTTGTGTGCTTGTGTGCTTGTATGGTATAGGGGATTGAACCCAGGGGTCTGCCCATGTTAGGCAAGCACTCTGTTACTGACCTGTGTCCCCAGGCCTCCTCCCCCTTGGAGACACTGGTATCTAAGTCTTTAAATTGCCTCAGATGGACTGAACTTTTGATCCTGCTGCTTTAGCCTCCTAGAGTGCTGTGTGTGCCACTGGGGCTGGCTCCTTTTTAATTTTGACAGGGTCTCATTAAGTTGTCCAGGGTTTCCTGAAACTTGCAGTCCTCCTGCCTCAAAGCTCCTGAAGAGGAGAGATAACTGGTGTTTTGCCACTACACCCTGCCTGGTAGTCCTAACTGAAATTGATCCTCAGTTCTCCTTGGGAATTTCTGAACCCTCTGATAATGGGCAGGGGCACTGAAGTAGGGTTGTGCTGCTCCTCTGTGCCCCTACAGTCTGTTGTATGGGTGTGGCCTGCCTAGCACCCCTGGCCAGCCATAGGGCTTTGCTGACCTCAGTGCTGAGCTGCTTGGGAGCCTGTGTGGAGACTCCCAGTGAGGCTGACTTTGTTGACCTTGTGCCCTTCTTCAGCTGACAGGGAATTCATTGAGGGCCGGAGAAGGGCTCTGAAGCGCTTCATCAACCTGGTGGCCAGGCATCCCCCGTTCTCTGAGGATGTCACACTCAAGCTGTTCCTCTCATTCAGTGGCCCAGTAAGTGTCTCTGTCCTGCAGTGGGTCCCATGTGGGCTGGGTTCTGAGATTTCTGGGGTTCATTTTCCTTCTTGAATCTTCTTTCCTTTTCCTTTTTTTGCTGTCTTGCTCCTGTTTGGACACCTGGAAAGAGTTTGTTTCACTGTGATTAACAGTGCATGGCTCCCTTCCTTTCTAAGTGGCAGCTCGGCTATAAATTTTAAAGGCATCCTTGGTTCTGACAATGGTGGATTTCATGTATGCTGTGGAATTGTGTGCTTGCTTTAGGGATTTAGAGTTGATATAGCCAGCAGCTGGTTTGGAGTGTCTGTGGATGAACTAGAGACTGCCTATGTGAGTATTACTGAAAGGAGAAAAAAGGCCTTCTGACTGAGAGGAAATAGCTGAGCTCCATCTGTAGAGCTGAGATGGAGATCCCTGGCCCAGAGATGTCCTCATGCACATTTGCCAGGTGTGAGATCAGCACTTCCTTTCTTTAAACTGGTGTCCACAGCCTAGTGGGAGCCAAGAGCTGAAGCCGGACTCCTGTTTCCAGTGTGTGTGGGGGGAGTGCCAGCCCTTTCAGGCAGGGAGGTTCTGGGATGGAGCTGGCATCCTGCCACAGTTGGATACAGAAGGGGAGTCCCCAGCAGGAAGGGAACCACTGGGTTCTTCTGTGGGAGGGACTGCTTCTTGGATGGACACTGGAGTCAGCTGTATACTACCCTTTACCAGGCTTATAGGCCAGGGTATGCAGGACACAGGCAGAGTCCAGTAGGATCCCCCCAACATCTTGCCAGTCTGCAGGATAAGGGGTACAGGACACAGGTGAGTCCACTGAGGCTCACATGCACCCCACCCTTAAAAGGTTGTACAGTAGAGGGCACAGGACACAAGCAGAGTCTATTAGGAGTGTCTTTGTTACTTTTTACTCATTGCTGGGACAAATACCCGACACTCAAAATGAAGGAAGAGTTTATTTATCTCACAATTACTGGAAGGTTCAGTCCATGTTCCGCTGGCTCCAAGGCAAATGACAGCAGTTCATGTGGCAGAAAACAATGAAGAGCAGAGGAGGAGCAGCAGCTGCGGCGTCCATCAAGCCTCTCTCTTCTACGCTGACTGCGAAGACCAGTGCTCCACAGTGAAGATTGGAGCTCCTCAAAAGTGGCGCGGCTGCGAAGACCAAGCTCCTCCAAAGACTGAAACTTCTCCACGGAAGCAGGGCCGGGCAGCAGGAAACTAGGCAGGGTGGCTTCCTGCCTTTCTCAATTTCTGGGCCCTGCCCACCTGCAGGGCTAGGCCCCCATGCTGAGAACTGCTGGAGCTGATTCAGCCAAGTTGACACAATGTACCAGCTAACACAGAGCCACTCACTCTATGCCCAGCTACGGGGCAGAGGAGGCAGGACATGGACAGTCTACCCCTTATTGGCTGCAGGGTAGGGGACGCAAGACCCACCCAGAGTGAGCCTGAGCATTGCTTCCATTCCTCTGACCTCTAGGAAGTTGTTAGCACTTCCCTGGGTGACACCCATTGCAGTAACTAGATACTAGAGTGCTAGAATTATAGACATGAGACACCACACCTGGGTTTTCTCCCCTTCTTTCCCCCACTTTGGTGGTACTGGGGATTGAATCTTGAACTTGGCCTTCACATTTGGCTACATCCCAAGTCCTTTTCTTATTTTTATTTTAAATTTTGAGATAGGGTCTTGGTAAGTTGCTAAATTTCCCAGGCTGGGCTCAAATTTATGATCTTTCTGCCTCAGCCTCTATAATAGTGGGATTATAGGTGTGGGGTACTACTTCCGTTGTTGTTAAATTGAGAAAACTGAGGCTGATGATTGTCTGGGCACATGTGAAATCCTAGAATTTCTGGACACTCATATATTTAAGGTTGGCCATACTTGGGAGGCTTCCATTGAGAGGGCCAAGCCTCCAGATCAGGAGCTGACCTTCCTCTATGTGCCAGCTGCCCAAGGCCTGGGTTTCCTGGCTTGAAGTCTGTTTATAGGAAGAAGTCTTGGGTTCTCCTCCGTTCTCTTTTTGGATTCAGAAGGGTCTGACAAATCATGGTGTCCTTCATGTGTGGTGACAGTGCTGCCCCTTATTTGTGGATGGAGTCTGGTACTGGGGAAAAAGCCTTATTTTGCTCCAGAGTAGGGACCTTGGTCACATTCCTGTCAGTAAGTCAGGCCTTCCTGTCGTTAACATTCAACTAAAGAAAATCTGAGAGATAGCAAAGGGATTCTGGAATTCTGAGGGCAAAGTGGACACAAGGAAGTGGATCTCCATTGGCTTGTGAAGGGACACCACTGGCTTTTGCTGACGCATTGGCCCTGTGATGGCCTGGTGTCAGCATTTGTGCCTTGGGAACAGAGTGCAACCATCTACTTCCTCTTGCAGGATGTGCAGAACAGGCTTAGGGAAGCAGCCCAGGGTGTTGGGGACGAATTCCTGAACTGTAAGCTGGCGACTAGGGCCAAGGTAGGTTACTGCTCTCGAGTATTTTTTCTCCTCTTACCCAGAGATACAGTGATTTTAACTGTGCGTGGTGATATCCTGCCTCTGCTGTGCACCAGGGATCATGTGAGATCCACTGCCCATTCTTCATGCTTGACCCTTTTTCAGTTGCCCTGAAACTAGGCTCAGCTTGTCTCAAGTAAGCTCTCTACTCTTACCTGACAGGACTTCCTCCCTGCCGACATCCAGACTCAGTTCGCCATGAGCCGGGAGCTCATTCGAAACCTCTACAACAGCTTCTACAAGCTGCGGGACCGGGCTGAGCGGATTGCATCTAGGGCCATTGACAATGCAGCTGATCTTCTCATATTTGGGAAAGAGCTGAGGCAAGTGGCCTTTGGGGTGACAAGGTCTCCAGGTGGTGGTGGGCTTTGGGCACACCAAGTTTGCTGTAGGGATGGCCATCCTTACTATGTCCCTACACAAAGGTAGGAAGTGGGCTGGGCAAGTGAAACATCATATTCAGGAAGAGAAGCTGGGGATTTTGGCTGAGCCATGTAGATTCTTGCCCACCTTCCACACTGTAGTCTTCCCTGTGCAGGGATTACATGGTGACATGGATCATTATCTTTGAGAAGGAGCCACCTGGAGTTGGCAGGGCTCCCTTTGTCTACAGGAGTCCAGGACATTCTCTCCTTGGTCTGGGCTACACCTGAGATGGGGCTCTGCATGCTGCCTTCCTCTCTGCCCTCTGTGTTCCCTGGACTCCCTTTAGGGGCTGAGGTGAGGACAGGACATACCTGTGAGTATGTCCTGCTTGTGTGCTTCACTTCCCACAGTGCCTTAGGGTCTGACATGACCCCGCTGCCCTCCTGGGCCACTCTGCATCTGAGCACCTGGGCCTCTCTGAAGCAGGCTATGAAGGGCCTATCTGTGGAGTTTGCGGTGTTGGCAGACAAAGCTGCGCAACAGGTGAGTGGCCTCTTCAACATCATCTGTCCCCAGTGCAGGACGTGCTGTCCCTCAGTGGGGGAGTGCTTCCTGCTTATGCACTCCACAGTTCTGAGCTCCAAGTGCTTACCCTGTGAGGAGGTACTGCCTGTCCTCATCTGCTCTGGGCCACTCAGCATGAGCCAGGTGTGCTTGGGAGAGGGCTGCGAGGGACAGAAACATGCTGGATTCTGGTCTCTCCAGTGTTGACTCTGCTGAATCTAGAAGGTAGATTTTCCCCTCCTTTTTGGTTCTGTGGATTTAATCTAAGGCCTTTTCACTGAGATATATTTTCACTCCTTTTTGTTTTTTGAGACAGGGACTTGCTGTGTTGCCTGGTGTGGAATCTGTCCTTGCAACTATAATTGTGGGCTTCAGAGCATGCTTTTGGGTGACCAGATAATTCCCATTGTGCAGAATAATGTGGTAACTCATCAGTAGTAACTAAGCTCCCAGCACTCAAGAGATTCTGTCTTCCTCCCACCCTGATACCCACTTAACCTCAAGAAATGCTGCTGCTATTCAGGATTGGTATTTAGAAGTCTGCAAAGAATCTGACAGTCACTGGGGACTCATTTGAAGATGTAGCAGTTACTGTCAAGCTTAAAGGCTCATCTGGGGCTTTTATGTTATAAAGCTGTCACCTGATTTTGAGAGTATCAACTTGTTGTCTGTTTTTGGGGAAATGGTCTTTAAGCTGTGAGTAGATGGTTATAAATAAATTCATGTCCCTGCCTGGGCTGTGGAGCTCCATTGTCTGTGCTGGATCCACCTGCTGGCCACTTGGGGCCTTTGCTGCCTGGGGGCTGGATACACAGATGTAGATAATATGTTCACGCAGAAGAGAGATTCTGCTCTCTGCTGGTGAGGGAAGACCTTTTCCTTCTTCTGTTCCTGGTGGCTGTGTGTTCCATTTAGAACCTGAGATAAAGGTGGTATTGGTACCTTCTTTATCTGCACTAGGTCTTTTCCTTCTCCAGATCTGTGGGTGTCCCTTTTCCAAGGTGGAGAGGACCAAAGATGAGGAACCAGAGTTTGCTTGGATGGACAGGCTAGGGGCTTGGGCCAGGGATCTGTCCTTTGCAGTATCTGTGCTGTGACTTTGTTCCAGTTACTTTGGTCTCTGGACCTCAGTTTCCCAATCAGTGGAATACAAGGGAGTTGGACTAGATCTTTAAAACAAACACTTTAACTTGAACCTTTCTTCCAGGCTCATATTTAAAACAAAATCATTCCTGTTGTAAGGAACCAGGCCCTGGCCACTCTCTGCAGGGAGCCTCCAGCAGGGTGCTGGGATCCCTGGCTTTGCAGACGGTGAAGTGCAAGTCATACCTTCAGAGATGTTCCAGGCCTTTTCTCATGACGCACTTGCACCTTGAGAAAGAAGAGGAGGCCCAGACTTCTGTTGTGGTGGGGAGTTTGTCACATGAGGGTCTTCCTAGCTCAGTGGCTCTTTTGATATTTCACAAATTCTTTTTTGAAATTTAATGTCTAGAGAAGTTCTACATCCTAGAACTTCCTAGTTCTATATCCTAGAATATTCTTCACTGTTCTTGTCCATAGTCAAGTAGAATTTTTACATGAAACTGGATCAGGACTTTAATCAGCTGAAATTCCACCCATTCCCTGCTGTAGAATGAAGGCATCCTGGAGCTATTTTTCTAATTCCAGTTTTGCTTATACTAGTTTTGTGCTCCCCGTGCCTGTTAGGAGATGTAGGTATACCAGCAAGACAGGTGAGGCTTGGAGCAGGAGCTTGATCTCTCTACAGTGATGGTACCATGGACCTTTCTTTTTCTGTGTATGTGTGATACTAGGGATTGAACCCAGGGCCTTCACACTAAACTGTATCTTCAGCCTTTAAAAAAATTTTTTTTTCTTTTGCAATGAGACTCAAACTCAGGACCTTGCACTTGTGGTTGAGGCTCAACTTGTGGTTGAGCCATATCCCCAGCCCTTTTAAAAAATGTTTAGACTATGTCTCGCCAAGTTTTCAGGCTGGGATGAAACTTGTGTTTGTCCTGCCTCAGCCTCTGGAGTGCTGCAATTACATGCACGTACCACAATGTCCAGCTGTGGACTATCTTAAGGCATGTACTGATGGCTTTGAGTCATGTGTGCTGAACAGAAGTTGGTCTTGGTGGAAGACATGGGCAGGAAGAACCCGCAGTCCCCTTTCCTAAAAGCTGCAAGAACTGATGTGTTTTCATGTTTGGAAAATCCTCAACACACCTCTTATTCCTTGGAGCTTGTTGGTATGGGACTATGGGGTTGCTGTAGGTAAGAGACTGAGTGGCAGGAATCTTCTGTCTCTGCAGACTGAGACCTAGAGGGTGGGAGGGGTGTCCTGAGTTGGTATTCTGGTACTTATGTTCCCATGCACTTCACTTTTCTGTCTCCTGCCTCCTTTTGCCCAGCATCCCTTGCACCTAGTGTGACATACAGCTTCTGGGATGACCTGCTACTATGTGTATGCTGGGAGGCCAGGGCAGTCTCTGTTTGGTGGTGATGGTCACTTGTGTCCCCAGGATGCTGAAGACAAGTCCCAGAGCTGGGCTTTTTGTTAACATGAGGGTCTCTATGCTTGCAGGCTTACCAGCACCTGTCTCTTGGTTACCCTCACTGTGCAGCCTGAGCCAGAGTGACAAAGAGCCTGTGTCTGCTCCCTTTCTCCCCTACTATGACACTTGGCTCTTTTGTGCACCAAGCTCTCCAAGCACCAAGCTGTGTTTACTTGATTCATGCCTCACTGTGACACATCTTTTTTTGTAGCAGTGTCTCTCTTTCCTCATGCCTGCCCAACCTGCAGTCTGTCCCTGTTAGTAGGCTACCAACTCCCTCTGCTGTCCACCTTTGGATACACCCACAACCTCCAGTGACACTGCATGGGTGTGTTTGAGTGTAGGGACAGCAGGAGCAGAGGGCGTGCTGCCCTGTCCCTGTCAAAACTGTTGGGTTTGGAAATATCTGTGCCTCCTGGTCTTGTGGTGGGAGCTGTCCTGCAGAAAGGGGGACCCTTCTGCAGCATAGCGTGGTGGCTCTGGAAGATGGGTCTTCCAGGCTGTGTACAGCAGCAGGCGAGCTCCCCAGCAGTCTCAGGTCCTTGTGGGCCTGTGTTAGGTAACTCATCCTTCTTTCCTAGGGCAGACAAGAAGAGAATGATGTGGTGGAAAAGCTGAACCTTTTCTTGGATTTGCTTCAGGCCTATAAAGTGAGTCTGGGCTGCCCCATAGGCAGGGGCAGAGCTTTTGAGAGTGACATTCCAGAGTGTGATTCTAAGAACCATGAGGGAAGTGAGGGCTAGAGCCATTTAGGGAGGATGGGTCTTTCACGGCCTGCTGATATCTCCATGTAGCTGGCCCGAGCCCCTGCAGGCTTCCCCTCGCTGAATGTGGGAAGGGCTTTGCCCTGGGCATGATCTCTCTCTCTCTCTCTCTCTCTCTCTCTCTCTCTCTCTCTCTCTCTCTCTCTCTCTCTCT